AGACTACAGAAACTTGTTGAACTCAGCCTTGTGGTCTCATTTTCCCCGCGGACTTGTCTCCACAGGTCTCCAACTGATTGGAGTCAACGCTGAGCACGAATGGGTTACCGATACCAAGACAATGGAATTTAGGCAAGAAAACATTTGAGGCAGATAGGCAAATGGTCTGAGATTTCCGGAAAACGCCCGAGCATCATGCTACCGGTCTGCCCTCGTGGGAAGTGGACCAGTCTGAAGGCGCCGCCATCAAAATGGTCTCAATGAATCGGGGGCTGACTGTATTTGAGGTGATGCAAATCAGTGTACTGGGTACTCTGCCTAGGCTATGTTCAGGTGGGTTTGGCCTTGGACGCGACGGCGGCATAGTCGGACATGATCTTGTTCAACCCCTCCCGCTGCACACAGTTCTCGAAGCTGAAGCTTTTCGCCAGCTCCTCCAAGGCATCTGTGTCCTTGTCGCGAAAGAGCTCGGCAAATTCCTGACAGAATGTCTCAGCGAGGAAGGTCTGCAGGACCGCACGCTCAATGTGTCTTGCAGTGTTCCACGTGGATGGGTAGACGTTCTTCGCCGTGGGCGAGACCGAGTCTATCCAGCTGATGAGGGGCAGCATCACATCGTCGACCTCTTTGGACGGGTACTTTCCCCATGCGTCCAGTTGCAGCCGCTTCTTCTTTTCCAGCATAGGCTCGATCAGTTTGTTCCAGGGCGAGTCGGGTGACGTGTACACCATTCCCTGGAGGCCGACGTCTTTGAAGAGCCAGATGGACCACGGGATTTGGAACTTGTCGTAGATGCGCAACTGCTCACCTAGCATATTGTAACGCTTCTGGTTGACTTCCTCGGCGTTTTCGTCCCATTTGGGGTTTGCGTACACCGGACCGAACTCGCCGTTCCAGATGGCCGTCTTGTGCCTTCTCTGAAACTCCGACTTGCGCAAGAACTGAGCCTCCAGTCTCTCCTTTTGCTCGGAAGTGCCTTCGTACGGACGCCCGGTGGGAAAGCCCATCATGCTGTAATCATGCAGCGCGTAGACACAATTTGGGAGCACGGTGTCAAATCCCTTCCACTCAGCCGCAAAGGTATTCCCGTCGAGCCACAAGATATGATCTGGATCAACCGCACGGATTGCTTTCTCCAGGCGGGCATAAAAGGCGGGCAAACGCACATGTTTAGGATCACAGGGTTCGTTGATGGGGTTATACCCAGCTATCCAGGGATTACCTTTGTAGCGGCGAGCGAGCTGCTCCCAAAGCCACACCGTCCGGTCTTGGTGGTCCTTGTAATCCCAGAAAGCGGCATAGCTCGTCGTATTATCGGCGTGCCAGCCAGGACCTTGACCACCCGGGACAGTGTGCATGTCGAGGATGGTATAAATACCTTCCTTTGCACAAAGGTCGATTACCCGGTCCAGGTGCTTGAACCCGCTCTCTTTGAGCACGCGGGGGTTCATGTCGTCCTCAAAATGCCGATAGTTGAAAGGAATGCGGATGCAATTCAGACCAAGGGACTTGAAGAACTTTGCGTCGGCCTCTGTGAAGAAGTAGTATAGCCACCGGTCGAAGAAGAAGTCGTACTTTTCCTGGCCCATGACTTCCAGCATCGCAGCCCGGATGCTCGATTCATGTCCGGGATAGCCAACGATGAAGTTTTCCATACTGGTTTTCTGTCTTAGAGACGATGCCAGGCGGGAACAGATGTACTTGGTGGAGCTTACTTGAGCCATCCCCCTATTGCGCAGCCTCGTAAAATGACTGGGTTTCCCCCTTCATCAACCACCTGGGAATCTTTTACTTTGAGGACTCCTGTCGCCATTGCTTCGGTCTGCCTTGGATGATGCTGCTCAATTGGTTTCCTTGGACCCAATGCGGACGACAATTCTCGTTGGAGAGATTCCGTTGCCTCATTTTGTTTGAATCTATTCTGGAGGCGGCCTGTAATTTTCCCCAATTCACGCAAGGCTTGGAGACAGTTGAATTTAGGCTAAAGTTCAAACAAAGTCGAAGGGAAAAGGAAACCATCGGCGTGCAACTCCGATTCAGCCGGGAAAGCTGCTCCATGCCCAGGAACTAAGATGCCGCCTCTGCGCAAACTTTGACTTGTTTGAGCACTGATTGACCAGAAAGAGGAAGACATCACGCGGTGGTGGAGAAAAATTGATATCACGTGATATACAGTAGTTGCGCGAAGTGATGGCAACGTTCCGAAGTAGCCAAGACTACGGTGGATCAAAAGAATTATGCGCTTTCACATGCTCGGGCGTGCCAACGCTCTGAATCTCCTTCCACTGCCACCAGCACTTGCCTTCAGCTTGCCATCAATGGCGCATTGACAAGGGGACGAATATCCTCTCCATATTCGTCATGGCAGCTCAGTTGCCTTGTCTTGCTCACTTCCCGAGACCAAATTACTCCCCCTGCAGGGGCTCAAAGCATGCGAGGCACTCCAAAAACATGAAGACAAGAACCCATGACCGTTGAGTTGGCCTGTCCCTTTGTTCTGTGTCTTACATGAGCTGTTCCATCAATCCTACAAAGTGCTGGAAGCAAGGGGGAAACTGAAATCTCTGGTATGTATCGACATTCAGTGATATTCATGTGGTCTTGAACGTCTATGCTCTGAAATATTTGTGTCACATTATTACTTTCAACTTGGTGATGCGCAGATGACATGCATTCCAATGAACGAACGTTATGGAGGCCAACTTCATCAGGAATGTAAACATCGTCGTGTGGACTCTTCAATTCAAAAAAGGAGCTGTTAGAACACCTGAGCCACAAAACCTTTGTGGTCATTGAGCAAACTGGCTGTCTCACAACCACTGCGCATCTCTTCGTAAACCATTGTCAATCTGCGACATCAGCCTGCAGCATGGACAAAGACGAGCTGAGTGGCGGACGCCAGTCTCCCAGAAAGCGAGAGACAGCAAACAACGAAAACAATGCCGATGAACAGCAATCCCCTGGTACGTTCAACGAGCAATTGCCCTGAAGATGTTTGACTTACCATTTTTATAAACCCAGCACTGGGCTCCAGGGGAGAAAGCATCTTCGTTGGCATACAAGATTACAGAACTACTCCTGTGTATTTCAACATGGTTGGACAATTCGGTGGTCCGTGCTTTGACACGTCAACAAACTTTTGGAAAAAGAGCTTGCAAGTGGAGGTAGATGGTTCGATTGAAGCGTTTGGCACGCGGGATTATGCTCAAGTCCAGTATCTTGCGCAAGACCCTCAACAAGTACAAGCGGTAAGTCTCTCACGAACCTGTCATACTGGCCGCTAATGCTTGCAGGCTGTGGACCATGTCGGCCAACTCGCAAAATATGCCACTGGCAGGCTTTTCATTACCGTGCTTCGCAATCCATCGCACAGGGACGGCCAACTCGAAGCAGTGGATGGAGTCGCCATGTCCGGCTTCTGGCTGGACCGCACAAAATTTGTGACGTGCGCCCATTTTCTGAAGACGGTCGAGGACACGAATGCCGATGAGACCGAAAGGTCCTTGAGAGATGCAAATCCACAGACACCGCGAGCCTTCGTTTCTAATAGGAAGAATGCTAGTCCAGGGGTGAGCACAAGCGGTAGGTGTACAGCCCCTGTTCAGTCTCATTGCAATTGCAAGTTTCTAACGAATTTCAGATTCTCATTCGTGGCCCGTCCATCTCCTGAGGCTCTCTCGAACTTCCGACATTGCAATTTTTGAGTTGAATCAAGGGACAGCAAAAGGGGAGAGCCATCCACCACATTCAATCAGGTTGAGCGACCTATCAGCATTACTTACAGCGCCATCTCCCGGGAATGGGTCAATCACCTCTTTCGAGCAAATCAACCCATCGTCACTGCCTCTTTTTGCAGCCTATTACCCCGGTGACGATGATTTTGTCGAGAATAGCGACGTGTCGCCTGTCCGAAAACAATTCGCCAGGGAAGCCGGCATATTGAGCACGTGGGGATTGTTTTGTGAGGAAGCCCGGCTCTTGAATCCTGCAGAGGCAGGAAGACCACCTGTAAGTCAACAGTCGTCATATGCCAATAGAGTCTAACAAATCTTTCAGAGCTTCAACTCGACATTCGCAGCTCACAACCGGAGCGTAGCCTTTGGTCGAATCGAGACAAACGTTATGTCCGACCCATGCCACGGTAGGTCTGGCAACAGCCTTTTTGCGCAAACCAGAGAATGCAGCATTGTGGGAACCTATGGCTGTTCGGGAGGTATGGTGTGCCTCCTCTTCCACGATGCAAGTGGCTGGCGATCTGTCGTCGTGGGACTCTGTAAGTCTATGCCAGATTCGATGGCTCGGCCTACAGAGAGAGCTAACCGAGTTGTGCCATTAGATCATGGGGAAAGCTGGAACGATCGGAGATACAACGAAATCGTCGCTTTCACCCCAGCATTCGTCGACGCCATGCGAGCTGGGACCTTTTTGAAGCACTGACGAAGCTTAAAGGACCTACCTTGGTGCTGGTACTTCGTTTCATTAGCGCAGGAAGTGTGAGAAGAACGGGCATGAAGATTTTGGGCCATGAAAGAATCAAAATTGAAGTACGGCGGCTAGATGGGTGAAAAGGTCATGTCTGGGAAGTATTTTGCTATCAAAGACAGGATTCCGATCAGGGGGTATTCTCATGCTTTTATTTTGGAGCGAGTCCACATTGTTCAACCTCAGCGCACTGGTACCCGTGGAGTTGGTGTCCTGGCAGAGTGCTTGCCGGAGTCAAAGGATAGGTAGCCATAGTTGAGATCAGACAGGGACAGATCCAATGCTTTTCTATCAGTCGAATGTCACAAGTAGAAACTAACCGCACTCAACGTCCTTGTCCACGCTTCGAATGCGTCATTTATCAAGCATTAGGTGGGGTATTGCGGACGACGATTTGTGATAGCCGCTGTCAGAGAGTCCCTCCTCTCCTCCTTTCTCTGGAGTAAGTAAGCACAATCTCTATTCGCAGCCCTTTGCCGTGGCTTCATTCTCCGCTCTGTAATCTCCTCCTCGGCTGGTCACTCGACAGGAAAATCGAACAAGTCCGCAACGTCCAGCGAGGAATCAAACAGGCCGGCGAACTCATCCCTGATTTGCGAGTCGAACAACATGTACTCGCCGCCGCCGCCGTCGTCGTCGTGCTGCTCTGAGCCCAGGGTCTGATCCGTATCCAAAGGGCCACCTCTCCACTCGTCATTCCGCGCGTTAGGTTTCTCAGAGGTTCGCAGTCCGCCGGAATCACCATCCCAGACCACCGCTGCCGCCGACATCCCAGCATCACGCCGACGTGCAGCAATCTTGTCGTGCAAGTCCTCAAGGCCTTTGAGACGGTCCCACACGCGCATGACGGGGCCACAGCGCGTGCTCAGTCTTCTGAGTAGCGCCAGCGCCGCGTAGAACGTGTCGCGGATCCGGGCCCAGTACTCGGCCGCGGCGTGGACGGCGAGCAGGAGCAGGTTGCCCAGCGCCGAGACGATGAAGTGCTTGAAGAAGACGGTGTGCCGTTCCAGGAGGTCCGTTGAGGTTTCGAGCTCCACGAGCACGCGCAGCGAGTCCTGGGCCGCGAGGAAGGCCGTCGTCGCCTGGGCGCTGTGGCTTTGGATCCGCGACGGCGATTGCAGAAGCGGGCGGTAGATGACGTTCCGTAGCTGGTTCGCGCGCACGCAGAGGGCGACGCTGAGGAAGAATTTTGATCGTTGGGGGAATCTCTCTTGGGTGGAATCCGTTGGGTGTGCGACTCGGGATGGGTCCGCATGCTCATCACTACTAGGCCCAGACGATCCAGGAGAATATCGGAGGGACTCTGGGATCTGCCGTTGCCACTGTAAAAGCTGGTAGTCGAGGTAATCGACCTCGTCGCGCACCACATCTGGGTCCTTGCTGCTGAAAACATTGCTCATGTGCCACGCCTTGCCGGACAGCTTGGTAAAGGGGATCATGGTCCGGAGGTAGAGGTGGTCGAATGGCATGGCGACCAGTTTCGGGTCGACGAGACTGTCCTGGATCACGAACGGCACCCCCAGCCCGAGGCTCGACCGCCTGTCCAGCATGAAGACGGACCAAAAGAACCTCAGCGCCTCCTTTCGCGGCGCTTCGGCCGGAAAATGCTTCAGCAGCGTCTCGCGACGGTGGAGTCCCATCTCCAGACATCTTCGCGACGCCAGGCACACGTACCTGCTCGCCTTGAGCTCTTCGTCCAGGTGTAGGTAGAATAGTGCCTGTGGAGAAAGGTCGACGGGGTCAGCTCTGGGGTCTTTGTAGGGTGGTCTGGTGCACATGAATGGGGTCTCACGGTAAGCACGAGGAGTTGAACTCCGTGGATTCCTTCCGCGTTCATTAATGAGTCATCCGACGAATCCAGCACACTCTGCACGAGCTGGACGGCCATTTCGCTGTTGCCGACCCCCAGTTCCATGATGCTTCCCATGGCAATGAGCAGTTTCGCCTCGTTGATGGCGCCGCTGTATAGCAGTTCCAGCGCTCGACTGAAATGGTCCCGATATCTGCCCGCCTTGATCGCTTCTAGGGCATCGAACAACATATGCGTCTTGGCCTCGAGATGCTGGCTCTCGACCACTGGGTACATGGCTCCGAGGCTGTCGTGGTAGATATTCATCCACCTGAATGCGTCGGATCGCTGGATCGTCCATAGCGGGTCTCGAGTCAACAGTCGTCCCAGCAACTTCTTATCTGCCGTGTGGCCCCCTGGCATAACTGGCAGTGAGAACGACGGGTTCATGGCCTCTTTCGGGCTCTCATTGCCGACGGTGGTGCCGCCGATGCCTAGATCGCCAAAGCTCTCGTTGGCCACTGTAAACGTAAATTCCGAGCTTGTTGGGCCATGGTACTCTGGGGACAGGGTTTCAGCCCCAGACGGCGAGGTCAGACGCCGTGGCGATCCGCCTCTCGGGAGCACGCTGTTCGAAGACGTCTCGTCCGTAGTCTCTGTCGACGGATTCTGCTGCTGCTCGACAAGGCTGACAAGACCAGGGGTTTTTGAATGGGTTGCTTCGTGAAGAGAAGTACCTCCACCCGAGAGACTGTTCATCTTCTGATGGAGACTGTCGACCTTTGCCATAATCGTTCGGATCTGCATGTCCATATTGGCCAGGCTAGTACTCCCGTTATCCTCGTGCTGCCTGGACGCAGAAGTCGAGAGGCCATCGACGTCTCCTCGGGCTAGCGTTCGCGGATAGCTGCAAATAGTCATACTATTGAGGCATCGCTCGCAGGGCTCATCGCCTGTGCACTTGACCTTTCGCCGTTTACATTCGTTACTGTTACAGGAGCCCAGTATCAGAGCAGACCATACAGACAGACTGTCGGGACAGGCGAGTGACGTATAGGCCAAGGAGCTTGTTTTGCAACCAGTTCACATACCATGCGTTGGAGACATAGCGAGACCTCTTTGTTTTCGGGGCAAGTTCGACACTGTTGTCGTTGGGTCTTTTGGATGACATCTCGTCTCAACGGAGAACCTCTTCGGTAATGGTCATGCCTTGATCGGTCGATTCGAAGAATTGGATGATGTTGTTAGCGGAAGTCAAGTTCTGTTTCTAGAGAAGAAACATGGCAGGGAACGCTCAACAGTGTGTCGTCAGCACATTTGGGGGCGTCGTCTTTGGAGGATTTGTCTCTCGTAGCGCCGAGGCTGTTAGAAGGGGGGGGGGGGATGAGTGGGCTTAGGGTTCCGGATTTTGCGGGGTTGCGGGGGGGCCGGGCGCTGACGATTACGATTAGGCGTGGGAGACTCTGGTGAAGACCGGCTAATCCCGGGGGACATTAGCCATTTAAGGGCCGAAGCGCCGAGACACGCCTCGAGAAGAGGCTGTACTGTGTACCTCGTACCTACACCAACAAGCTATCGACGCTCAACTGACCTACTCACAGGTATATAGTCGTGCCGCCCAATCTACATCGTAAAGCTACCCATAATGGCCTGCGACTCAGCTAATAATCACCGCTTCACATCACCACGGCCCCTACCCACTCCATGCCCAGTTTCAGCCCTCAGCTGCCTTCAACCCCTGCTCCAGCTCAGCGAGGTTCCACGGCACAAATCGCACCTTGTATTCTTTGGGCTGCGTCGTGAGGGACGCCGGATTCGCCACCCCCTCAATGGGGCGCGTCTCGATGAACCCATCCGGCTCGATGCGGAAACTGTTGAGCACGCGCAGAAACAGCACGTAGAGCTCTCTGTACGCCAACTGCATGCCCACGCACATGCGCCCGCCTGTGCCGAAGGTGAAGATGGGGGCGTCGGGCGTCTCGAGCCAGCGTTCAGGGCGGAAGGACTCGGGGTCGTCCCATAGTTCGGGATCTACGGTTGAGTGAAACAAGAAAGGTCAGTGGAATGGCTTATTGTGATGTGTCGTAAACAGCTTGTTGTCTCACTCACCCATGTTACAGGCCCAGACGTTCAGGAATATCACTGTCCCCTTGGGGATCATCTTCTCGTCGTACACGAAGTCTTGGATGGTGCAGCGGGGCAACGATAGCCTCGTCACGGAAAAGTACCTGAGCAGGGTTTGAGTGAGTACTATGCAACTCGACAGACGAGAGCCATTCGGGAATTTCGGCCATAAATACCTCAGAATCTCCTTGATCACAGCGACCAGGTAGATGCAGCTTTGATCATCCGCGGCATCACAAAGCGGACGGTCGGCAGGATAAATCTCACGGATTGCTTCGAGCGCCTTTTTCTGGATATCCTGTCGCTTCGCCAGCAAGGCCATCCCCCAACCCACCGCCGAGTTCATGGTGTCGAGGCCGGCCGCGAGCAAGGTGAGGTTGAGAGACTTGAGCTCCATCTCGGTGAGCTTGGCGTCTTCATCCACAAGGACGTTTCCTCGAATACACGGCTTGTTGGTGCCCTGCTTGATCCGTTTCTCTAGGTCCTTGTCGAGGATTTCAATGTACCTGTCCCGGCGAAGCTTCATCTCCACCGCTTGGGACGACTGGGTATTCCACGGGTTCAGCCGGAGGAGTGGGATATAGTCTTGCAAATTACCTGTCGTGCTTCGGAAATTGCTGATCGTGTCCTCGACATGGACTATCTCGTGGAAGAGATCATTTTGGGACTCCATTCTCGATCCCCAGTGCAGCGTGAGACCGATGCTCATGTTCATCCGCAGAAACAGGGGCATGGGATTGATCCCCTTTTTCCCCGAATCGCCGTATTTGAGCGCCTCGGACAGGAAGACACGGGTCTCCCTATCAAGGTGAGGGATGTAACTCACCACGGCCGGCCGGTTCAAGGCCGATGCGACTGCTTTCCTTCTTCGTTTAAGCGAGTCAGAGTACGGACTGGTCCCGATGGTGGTGCCGGCCGTGTCGGAGATGAGCTGTTCCGTCAGATATCAATAGTGTTTCCCCTCACTGACCTTTCATGGATGAGATGCTGCTCACCTTGTGGAAAGTGTAGAACTCTGGTCGCGAGCTGGTCGCGTGCGAGTTCTGGTTGAAGATCGCCTTGGCCGCTGCGGCCGAGTTGACCACCAGGACCGGGATGTTGCCCAGCTGGATCTGGTAGACTGGACCGTACTGCTTGGCCCATTGGCGGTACTGTTCTGGAGCGTCCTTCTGACGGATTTGCCAGAGGTTGCCCACGATGGGCCTTCCAGGAGGGCCACCAAACTTGGGCAGTCGAGCTGACCAGCGAACGAACTCGTAGACCACGAGAGCAACTGCGCTGGCGGCCGCGAGGAGGAGGGGATACAACGCCCATCCCACCTCCTTCGGCCAGGTCGTCGTGATCAGAGTCATTGGAGGTCTTGTATCTTTGCCAAATCGTAAAGACGGCAGATTCACTCACGAATGATAAAGCGCGAGAGCATTCCGGTACTGAAGTAGGGCCGAATACGTTTCCCTCGGTGAACATCAAAGTATTTTATGCTCTCGTCATGTCCGTCCCCTTTTCCACCACGGGTTAGCATATCAGAGACTCATGTCATATACATGCAATGCCGGTAAGCCGCTCAAGTCAGCTACCTGATACTCATCTTCGAGGGCGGGATCTGACAAGTTTGCTCGGAAAGCCTCCGATATTCCGTCAGGCCGCCCAAGAAATGCCATAACTAAATAATAAAATGCCACCAATGCTGGATCAGGGTGTTGCGTCATTCCGAAATCCTTGCGCAAAGTGACTGGCTCAAGGTATCCTTTGTTGAGCATTGTCAACTCCCTGTCTCTTGTCGTCGATGGGTTGGTGAAAGAGCCTTTGCTCGCAAGGGGGTCAGAGATAGACAAAGATGGTTGTCCCCGACACTATTAATTAACCTGCTTAGCTTACAAAGCTAGGCGGCTATTCCTTGTACTAGGTCACAACAGGATTCGTCTGATTTTAGCGAGGTCAGCTTCTTCGACGCCATGTACAAGGTACTTTCTATCAATGTCTATCCCTCGGCTCATCCACTGCCAGAGATAAGTGTCGACACCTGAGCCCGACGACCTCTACAATATAAGATACCATGTCTCAAGCCCGACGGCCGTTCAAGGAAGTGGAGGAGTCCCGTCCTGACTTTGACCACGCTGCCCAATTCACCGTAACCAAAACCCGGTCGCCGTCTTGGAACTGGGGCACCGGCGCAACCGACGGGGGCGCCTGTCTTGACAAGCAACACGTCGAGGTCGATCCCAATGAGCCAGGACGACCGGCACACAACAACTACAAGCTCTTGATCTCTGCCATCGTGCCGCGCCCGATCGGGTTCATCGGAACTCGCAACGTGGACGGCAACACACAGAATCTGGCGCCGTTCAGTTTCACACAGGTGGTGAACCACGATCCGCCCGTTTTTGTTATAGGGTTCGCCGGTTCCAATGACAAGGACACGCTGCGAAACCTAAAGGCCACGGGCGAGTGCGTCATCAACATCATCAGCGAGAATTTTATTGAAGCGGCCAATGCGGCCTCGATCGACACGCCCTACGGCCTGAGCGAATGGGACGTCTCCGGTCTGACTCCGGCCCCGTGCAAGGACGTCAACGTGTCCCGAGTCAAGGAGAGCGTCTTCAGTGTCGAGGGCAAGCTACTCGAGGTCAAGGATTTCGAGAGCCGCGTCCACAAAGGCGTCAAGTCCGGGTCTATGGCCATCATTGAGGGTGTGCGGTTTTGGATTCGCGAAGACGCATATGATCAGCAGCAGGGGATCATTGACCCCGCGGTGTTGCGACCGGTGTATCGCCTTGGGGGCATCTCTTACGGTCGAGTAACGCAGGCCTTTGAACTTCCTCGGTTCAAGTATGAAGAGAAGAAGTCTGAACTTCCAAAGATGTAGACAGACAGTACCATTACCATGTGCAAACTTCACAGATTTATTAAGAGGACTGGACATTGACTGCGCAGCTTTGTCGTCCTGTCGAGACGGAAATGGGATAAATTTTGGGCATTTCCACAACCAGTATTATCCCAATATTGACATCTGCCATCTCGTTACCTCTGAATGTGGCTCGGGTAACGGCATTTTCAAGCTTGTTACAGTCAGCGTCGTACGCAATCCCCGAAGACTTAGGAAAGTCTCAAGGTATGTGTCGTGGACTGAGTGCCCAATTCTCATTTTGTCGCGGATACCGCACCAAGTTAGACTTATACGAAAACGGTGGCCTCTTTCTCGTGGCCGGCAAGACTCCGGAGGACACGCGTTGAGAAGCCGTTCTTTCGACAACGGCGTGGATGAAGCCGTGTCATATTCCATGTAAAGCCGACAACTCAATGAGAGAGTGGTTCTCACCTTCCAACTTGCATTCACATTTTGCCGCATACCCTCTCATCCAGGACCCTCACTAGTGAAGTGAAAATAGCTATCTGTATTGACTGCCACCACAGATAGTCGATAGCTTCTTTAACATGACCCACGTGTTACCACGTCGCTCCCCCCCAAGTCTAGGCCCCTCACAAGATGTGTGCAGTCGTCTTGAACGTTGGGATTGCAAGAAGAAGAACGAGGCTGTCCCTGTGTCAGGACACTCTACCAAGTGGGTCTTCCGAACTGCCGTTTCCGTAACGAGGCGCAAGGCTACACTTTCGGAGCCAACGGAATCTAGATGGAATCAATGCTTCGTTCCGAGTTAGACGGTGCAGCAAGATGCTAAATGAGGGGAAAGGCTACATACATGCACATGTCTAGTATCAGGCTCCTCTCGAAGCTCATTCTAGAGCTCCTTGCTTGTTCTCAGCCGCTTCTTGGACCCTTGGGTTTCTACACCCAACATGGCACCTGCATCATGGCTCGACATTGCTAGCGATTCTCCGTTCTCCCTCGCCAATATACCATTTGGCGTTGCCTTGTTTCCCGGCTCACAGACGCCTGTACCGGCAGTGGCCATTGGCGATCTCGCACTCAACCTGGCCATATTTTCGTCCAAGGGAGGATTCGGCGCTCTGGATGAGATCCATGAGCACATTCACGTATTCGTCCAACCTACGTTGAATGCATTCGCTGCTCTGGGTCGAAAGCTC